CAAGAGGCGAAACACCCAGTGATCCATCGATCACGCCATAAGTACCCGTGCCCGAGGAATCATCTCAATATCCTTCGATCCACTTTCAAAGTCCAGGAGCCGCCCTCCCAGCCGAGCAAGTATACACGAGTAACTTTGGGCACGGCGACAGCAGGCAGGGCAACAGAAGAGGAAGAAGAAGAAACTGCAAGGGAAAGCATCGAACCAGAAGAAGAGACTCCTCTTCGCGGCACGTCGTTATTCTTCCTAATAGATCGGCGGGAGTAGTCATTGTGCCGGTCGTTACACGGCCGATCCTTTCTTCTCTACGGCGATCGGGTCGCGTCAAAGGGAGGAAAAGAGCAACTGGCACAAAAGAAGCGTCGTTCGGCCAAGACCGGCCGAACGCTTCTTCCACCTCTCCCCCCTCCGCCCCTCGTCCCGTGTAATTCAGTATCCAGGATGAGTCTCGTGCTGTACAGGGCGAGCACGTTGCCCTTCGAGGAACCCACGGTCCCCATTGCCGAATCGAATTATGCTCGGTTGCTTGAACTTCGTTGATCCTCTTCCCTCGAACGTACAGCGTCATGGGATCAGATACCTAGAGCTCCTAGAGAGAGAGTGGCTCTCTGGCAAGTATTTCACGTTAAAAGCGTCCCGATCCGTACTTTCGAGGAATATTTTGGGAAATATATGTATTTTATTTATATGTTACATTATTTTGGAATATTTTTGGAAATATATATATTTTATTTTTATATTACATTATTTTGGAAAAAATATATATTTTAGTTATATATTACATTTTATTTATATATTATTTATATATTACATTATTTTGGAATATTTGGAAAATATATATATTTTATTTATATATTATTTATATATTACATTTTATTTATATATTACATTTATATGTTACATTTTATTTATATATTATTTATATATTACATTTTATTTATATATTATTTATACATTACATTTTATTTACATATTATTTATACATTACATTTTATTTATATTTTATTTTATTTTATTTTTTTTTAATTATTTGTAAATGTACAACAATGAAATCGCCGAATCGAATTGTACTCGGTTATGCTCGAACCTGTCTTTAATAATGATATTCAAGAAAGTGTTTCATTAGAATTGTGTAGTTTCTCAGGTAGAGAATGAGATCAGTGTAATATTTAAAGTTTAAGAAAGATGGATTTAGTACAACGTTGGTAATTTAATCGCCAAATGGATTCTCAGTTTTAATTTATCTAAATCTTGAAGTAAAATTATCTAGAGCTTCAAATAAAAACATCGGTACGATTATTAATGGTATTCCACGTATGAAATGGAAAAAGAAATGGCTCTGTCGCAGTGACAGCTTGACGAAGGGCTTCCATTCTATCGCAGTATGGAAATATCATTATTTCCAACAATATATGGACGATTCGATGGAACTCGTTTCGCACGTTGAAGTTTCCAAGGAGAAAGACTTCGCCAATCTGAAGGGCTAATCGTTAGTCTCTCGCTTTTTTTCTCTCTGTCTCGCCCTCTCCCACCCCCCAACCATTCGTGAGGGAATTTCGATTCGTGCTCCGTTTGCTCCCTCCCAGCAAGAGCACTCGACCCTTTTACGAGCGAACTTTCTCAGTTTCGACATTTTCCCCCGAGGGGTGCGCCGCCATTTCGCGTTACCAGCGGCGTGCATCGGTTCACCGAAGAAGCCCCGAACATGTAAATTGCTGGCGTAACGCCGAGGTGAACGAATACGCCGGTATTCTTTCGCGCATCATCGGACTAACGTTATTAGGCAAGTTCCGGAGGTCACGGGATACGAGTGTTGTAAAAATGTGTAAAATTCTAATGAGTATGAAGCCTGTCTTCAGGTAATTTTTATTTAAGTAACAAGGTATTAGTAATCGCAAAATTGTGGAATTTTTGGATTTAAATTGATACAAAATTTAGGTAATTTGTATTTAGGTGAATATTAGTAATTAGTAAATTTAGTAAAATTAATGAAATTATTAGTAATCGTAAAATTATGAAATTCATGGATGTAACGTAATACAAAATTTAGGTAATTTGTAGTTAGGTGACAAGGTGTTAGTAATCGTAAAATTGTGAAATTTTTGGATTCAACGTGACACAAAATTTAGATAATTTTTGCATTTAGGTAATTTGTATTTTGGTAAATATTAGTAATTAGTAAATTTAGTAAAATTAGTGAAAGTATTAGTAATCGTAAAATTGTGAAATTTTTGAATTTAACGTAATACAAAATTTAGGTAATTTATATTTAGGTGAATATTAATAATTAGTAAATTTAGTAAAATTAGTGAAAGTATTAGTAAACGTAAAATTGTGAAATTTAACGTTATATACAAAATTTAGATAATTTGTATTTAGGTGACAAAGTATTAGCAATCGTAAAACTGTAAAATTTTTGGATCTAACGTTTGCGTATTAAAATAGTAAAATCGCAAAGTGGCACGGTGAAATTTATAAACTTGATATCATAAAGTATCAAAAGTTCCGAAAATTTCCAAATTTTCAGAAACATATCAGTAATTTTAACAAGATAAACATAAAAATATCTCATTTGCTGGAATTTTATTTTAAATCGTATTAAAACCATACAAAACCATAAAACCTTACTCTCTAATAGTAAAACCTTAATCTCAAATAGTATTTATTAGGTACTTTTCCTCCATGTTTTCTCTAGCTTGCAACACCAAAGACGTGAAGCTTGGTAAATCTCTCTCGTAGATTTACGTCAATCTTATCACGATTTGATACACACTCCATATTCTCGTAGCCACTTCTCCGGTAGCCGTTCGATTCCCGCGCCCAGATCAGCCAGCCAGAGTTCTTTATTCGTTCAGGTTTCTCTCCGCTTCCTGTTGCGCAGCAGTCGATCGAATGTCAGAAGCACGTTCTTTAAAAGGTGTAAAAAAAAAAAAAAAAAAAAGAAGAAGAAGGGAGGACACGGAAAGGATCCAGTTCATTGGCTAATAGAGGAGAACACGTAAAAAGAACACGTCTCGAGTTTCTTCCACGGTCACCCTATCCGTGGAAGCACTGGTCTGTTAGGCGTTTTAGATCGTGCTTGCTGCGATACAATGAAAAGAGAGACAGAGGAGAGAGGGTGCTTCGAATCTGACCGGGCTTATAATCGAGTTAAACAGCCGAAAGACTGCTCCACTTTCTCGGCATCGGCTTCGAGGAAATCTAAAAATGCGTCCGACTTGCCCGAGAAACTAAATTTATGGAACCGCTACCTACTTTCTCCCTTTAAACTCCTCCAAATTGGAGTTTAAACTGGAGAAAAGCTTCTCGTTGTTAGTCAGCATTTTTTTTTTTTAAATCTGCCGCGTTTTCTTCTGGTTATTCCAGTTTCTCGGACACTTCTTTAGAGTTTTCTCTTCTCGAAGTCCTCGATCTCTTTGCTTTGAAATAACCTCGCTTCTCAGACGCCATTTTTAAACCTACCGCCCGCTGCATTTTTCAGCGCCATTTTTAAATCTATCGTGTCCTTTTTAACGTCGTTTTAATAATAATATTCCTTTCAACCCATTAAAGATCAAGCAACAATTCATTGATGTCCTTCAATTATAAAATCCAAGACATCGTGATTAAAAAGATAGTTGGAATTTTAACAATAGCAATACTGAAATTGTGCAATTTTATAACGCGAATTGAGCCTAACATTGGCCCTTGATATATTGACAGATCATATAATCTCCAAACTTTATGATAATTCTATTACAAACGACACGATCAAATTTCGATCGGCAAACTGTGTAAAAGTACAGAATTAATGTATTCAGGACTCCAGCGTCGAACAGTTGTCTGGAACGTCATACATTCGTTGGTACAAGTCACCAATCTGGTATATTGCTTCCTGAAGACCATCAATCGACGCGCGTGGTTGGAGAAAAAATTGTTATAGAAATTCCAACAAACACTGTCGATACATCGCTGGCTGTGTGTGTGTGTGTGTATGTGTGTGTGTGTGCTTTTTGGAAAAGTGGAGAAGAGTATAGAAAAAAAAAAAAAGAAAAAAGAAAGAGAGAGAGAATGGATGACATTGTCATAACTGGCGCAGAAGCAACGTGACAAAGTTGTGTGTGACTGCCTTCGAAAAATTTTCATTTCGCATGGTTGCACAGAGAAGAGAAAGAGAGAGAGAGAGAGAGAGTTTCGCGATTCTGGGTCACTCCCCCCAGCTCTCGTTGTAATCCGTGTAACAGCGGCGGAAGCCTGGCTGTGTGAAACGTGCCTAATCGCGAGATCGGCTCAACCCTTTCGCCTCGATGAAAACCACCCTGGCCACCTGCCCAGGATTACATAGTGCGTAGGCATTGTTCGAGTATCTAGAAGATAAAGATAGACCTGGATATAGGTAATCCCGACCGCAACGTTGTCTTGCTTTGCTTTTTTTAGATTTAGGAATAGAACTGCCGCGTCGATTTGACGAATTTCATGTTCAATGTTCTTTTTTTTTTTTTTGTAAAGACTTTTTTAATTTACTGACGATCGAAATGTAAAATTGGGAATTAAAGTACAAAAGAGCACTCGTATAGAAGGGATGCGTTTCCTTTCCTTCGTTTTTTCGATTAGAACAGAGATGAAAGTCCAAACGGATCTGGATCTTTTGAACATTTAGTGTATCATCTTTTATTCAACTCTCTCGTTCTAATTCCACTGCTGAATAGATTGAATGATTTTCAAAATCCTCAGCGTTTTAAAGGCCAACTTTAGGCCAAAATGAAATGGAAAAGAGAAAGCATGTAAAAATCTCAGGAGTGAAACGTAAAATAAACGTAAGCGAGCAGGGTCGATGAAAAAGTCCAGATTTTAAAATAAGGAAATAGGTACGTTGCTCCAAAAGTGGAAATAAAAGGTTCCAGAGGGAGAAAAAGAAGGAAAAAGTCTAGATGTATGATATAATTTTCGAATCTAAGTATATGTCGATGTCTGAAAAGTTTTTAGTAATTGACGAGTATTTGGTTTATGGGTTGTTGCAGGGTGTTTGTTGGACAATTCGGCGCCGCGGGGCCCGCCCGATGTGCCACCCCGTAATCCTACAATGAGTCGCGTCAACGGAAGATTGCCAGGAAGTCACGCAGCCAGCGATCACGAGCGTGATCCCGACCTCCAGCCGTCCTGCCTCGTACGCACCTCATCCGGCGGCTTCTACAGTATACCAAGTGAGTATTAGGGGTTGTTCGACACGCTGATTTTGCAAGCTGCGGATTTTCTGACATTTCATGCGAAATACGAAAGCACGGAGATACAGTATAACGAGCAAAAAAAAAGGGGGGAAAATCGTTATTAAAATTATTATTAAATAATGTTTAAATTATTAAATAATGTTAGACGAGTTAATAATTATATTTACAAAGATGTACAAATAATTTTATAGTATAGGGATTTGGTATACTATAAAATTATTTCAAGGGTTGTTCAATTATTTTGTCACTGACTTATGTCACTGGCTACGAATTTTCTTGCATTTGTGTCTCCTTGAAATTCGAAAGCATAGAAATATCGTATCGAGAACGTATATACGTAATAAAAATATAGAGAAATCGTGGTGATTACATTACATTAAATTAACAATTACATTTGCAAAGATGCACAAATAATTTTATGGTATATACCAAATAAGTAATTAGGGGTCGTTCAATTATTTTGACACTATTTCCTTGCATTTGTGGAAAACTCGAAAGCACAGAAATACAGAAAATGTATGTAATAAAAATATAGAGAAGTCGTAGTAATCACATTACATTAAATTAATAATTATATTCATAAAGGTGTATAAATAATTTAGGAACGTAGTATGGAATCATAACGATATGTATCTACTAATAATAATTAATATGATATTATTGTAATTATAATATTTACCGAACGAAACAATTGTTTCATGCTTTTGAAATCACGTTCAAAAAAATTCGCAGCCTATTGAGTCACGTTGAAAGCGAACAACGAAGACTATAAAGACGTTGAGGAGGGGTTTCACGTCCCTGAGACAGTATATATTGTACGTATTACTGCTTGCTCAGCTCGATAACTGTTTCAGCCTATTATAACAAATCTAATCGTCAATTTGAAGCAAGTTTCAGTCGTTCTCTTTGTTGTTTTACACAATAATCAATGAAACAATTAATTCAATTTAATTTCAACCAAATTACACACGTGAATAACGCTATCGATTCTCGCGAAATCTTTCGAATTAAAATTCGAAGTGAAATCATCGCAGAAGAAAGAAAAATGATTGAAAATCGGGGAAGATCTCCCGCCTTGAAGAGGAATTAGAAATCCTCGAGTGGATTCTTCGAATTCTTTGGGAGTGTTTGCCTCGGATCTCTAAACAAACCGATCCGCGGATAAACGTAGGCGAACTTTACACCGGATTCACATTTTTCCGAGATCCGGAGAGCTTTCCCAGGATGATATCGGTTAAAAGTGTTTGAGAAACAAATAGCCAGAGTGTAAGATTGACCGCCAAAGAGGCGACAGTGGATAAAGATTTCTGCTTGAGACACGTAGCTCTTGACTTTGCAGCCAAAGCAAACTCTCGTAGCTTTTGCACTTTCTCCCCCTTTGTTTTCTTTTTTTTTTTTTTTTCTTTTTTTCAAACGGACGCGCTAAAAATTCGTGAAACTACGTGCGAAAAGTCGGTCAACTTTCATGAAAATTTTCGAAATATTAACTTCAGAGTATTAAGGCAATTGAGTTGTTTCACTTCACCAAACATTACAGTTCTTGCAATATTAAATGTTGTTTCGTTATGCATGATAAATATTGTTAACAAGTATATTTGTTCACGATATTGTTAACAAGTGTCAATAACAAATATCGTTAATAAATATTATTATAATTTAATAAATATTGTAATTATTACGTCGATGCTACAATCGAGTTTCCTACATATATATTACAATGAACGGATTTTATTTAAATTTCCGTCGGTCCAAAGAGAACAGAACACTGTCCCTATTCTTCTAACAAAGGCAAACAGCCCTTCCAGTTCCACGAATTTCGAGAAGTGACGCACATACCCAAGTGAAAAAAATTTCTTCACGAAAAGCGAATATTTCTTGAAAACAGGCCGAAAGTCCTGGCTTGGACGATAAGATAAGAGCGGCTGAAAAGAAACTCGGTCTTGGAAATTATCGCACCCTCTGTCCGCCATTGGTTGCCACTGATTACAGCGTGTATACTACCCTCGTCAGAAACGTCAGTCACTTTTCCCCATTCTCGGTTAAGCCTTCTTATTACTCGTCCTCGATGGAACACTGTCCGTGTTATCGGTGGACACACCTCCTCCAAACGCAAAGTTTCGCTTCCAAGAATCGCTTTTCCCTTTTACTTTCGTTCGCCAGATACGAAGCCAGAGCGATAGCTTGACTAAGATCCACTCTCTTTTGACAGAATTAAGGGCCAAAAGGATGTACATATAAATAGGTTGGGCCAAGTTTCTTCTCACCTATTTTTTTTTTTTTTCTTTTTCTTTCTTTTAACGAAACATCGAAATGTAAGAAGGAAACTAAGTTTTATTAATTTTAAATTGAATTTAAGGTCAGACGTGATTTTTTTTCATACGTATTTTTAAGTTCAACGTGGTTATGTTTTAAAAATCTGCAAAATTTTTTAAAACATTTTCTTTTTAATAATACAACAAATATATTTAATATATATGGTAGATATATGTTTTAAAATATATAATTGAAAAATTCACTTTAGTATTTAAAATTTTCTCTCTTTCATCTGCGTTGCTCAAACACGAATACCAATTGAAAGTCGACAATCTTAATTTCTCACTTTGGACGTCGCAATTCTCTGTGATTTCCGTACATTTCTGGATCGTGTCGATTTCACATACTTTTATGTATTCGCGTTCTTCGGAACGGACTCGGAAAAAAGATGGAACGTGGATAAACATTAACGTACATTTTCACTCTGGAGTCTCTCGCGAACGCGTAAAAAACACCATAACGGTTAACGTCTTGATGGCGCCCGTGAAAAACGTGGATTTGCATAGAACAGCACGCTCTGATAACCGAAAAACCATCCCGGAGGGACGCTTGGGACCAGCCTCGCCCCGACATACCGACTCACTCGAGTTCACCGTGAACGATAACCCGTAAAATGGCGGCGCTCTCCGCGGTCCCCAGAGACGACTGGAACAACCATTCGACAGCCCACGGTACGTCAACCGTGCGGAAAAACAACGACGCGAAATCCGGGCCTCTTGACGTCAAGCTTCGAAACGTTTTACTCACAATGAGACGCGTTCCTTTCGATTTTTCACGGCCGTGAAGCACGGAGGGAAGCCTGGAAATTTATCCACGGTTTTCAAAAAGTCTCGACGATCTTCGCTTCACATGGTGTGTGTGTGTGTGTCTCTTTCTCTCTCTTCATGGTTTGGAGAACGGGCAGGACACGGTGATTTATGATCGCTCGGCTTGTTGACCCTCGGTTATGACAGTGGTCTGGCGCTTATGACCTTCCGCAGAATACCGTAGGCTTCTAAAGACGATCATCGTCGCCTCTTTCTCTCTCTCTCTCTCTCTCTCTCTCTCTCTCTCTCTCTCTCTCTCTCTTTCTTTATTTCTCTTTGCTGAAAGCCTGGTCATCGACACGGGCCACCAATCTTCCCCGAGGGCTTTTGTCGCTTTTGCCAGCGCACGATAGCGCCGCGCATTTTTCTCTCTTTCTCTCACTCTCTATCTCGGCTTTCTCGAATCTGTCGCTGAGGAGTGTTTGCGAAACTTCTATGGTCATTCATCTTTTCCAACGGTTAGGTGAATCCGTGTACACATTGAGGCCGCTGTGTCGTTGTTTGAGGATGTACGTACTTGTATGTACACGTGTTCCGATGTTCTCTTTTTTTTTTTTTTTTTTTATTATTTTGCGGCGGATAGAATTCTTTAGCAGCATTCTCTTCTCACCTTTCTCGGTGGTTCTGGTGAAAATTTGGACTTGTTGTCCGCGTTGGAACTGCGATCGATTGGTAGAAACAGATTCTGAAATCCCATTGGAATACTCTGCGAAATTCTTTCTTTGTATGACATTTCCTGTTACTTTAATTTCCCAATTTCTTCGTGTATTGTTCGAAATTTTCCTTGAAAATCAATCAATCTTGCTGGTTTAAACTACGAAATGTTCTCCTTATTTTTGTTAACAATTTCCTTAGAAACACCTACTAGTGATACAGTATTCTCGAACATTTTCTCTTATTTTTCCAATTAGTTCCGTTTATTCTTGAATTAAACGAAGCACTTCACGTACTTTGTGATCTCGAAATTTTCCCTTTCACACTTTAAACTAGTCGCTCTTTCTCTCACTAGAACGTCCCTCTCTCAATTTTATTTATCTTTGCGTTGAAAAGAAAAAAAAAAGATACATAATTCTCTTCCTTTTCGCCTCGAGTCCACCAAAAGTTCACCCTTTGCTAAAAATTTCCAAGTTAAGGACCAACTTTCAACGAATCAGGGTGAAAGAATCGTACTGAAACACTCTTGGAAAACCCTTTGTTTCGTTCGTGCTCGTTCCAACTCGCTGGCCTTACCCTTCCGCGCGTGTATACCTGGTGAGCAGGAAATCGAAGCGTGGGAAGACGAAGGTCCGCAAAAGCAGACCCCATGCCGCTAATTGTAGTTGTTGGCCAGGTCGTTCGGCCCCAAAATCCGATGATTACGGCATTTAGGCAGATATCCCGTGATTATGGGGATCCTGGCTTTTCCCTCGTCGCCCATTCGTTTTGCTTCTTTGCCGGTGATTATCGTGGCCAGCACGAGACGACGCCTAATAACGAGAGCGAGAACACCGTGGAGAAAAGGGACCGTGTCTATCGGTTGGCGTGTCAGAATCGCTTTTAATCGCCGGATCAGACCCGCCGTGATTTACCATCGCGCTGCGAGAGAGAGAGAGAGAGAAAAAAAAGAAGTACAAGTTTTTAACGCTTAATAAAGGCCCCCGATTTTGATCAGTTGAGGCTGTGATTGATCATTGGTTCATTATAGAGATACATATACGTTCCTCGAGAACTTGGTTTTTTCGAAAGATTCGTTGAAATCAGAGGGTATCGATGATTTACGATTTGAATTCGAATTCAAGCGTTGTGTCTAACTGGGGGATATTTCCGACGAAAAGTTGGATCATTCGTGCTTCGTCTCTGTTGATTTTAGATCCATATTGGAAGATTTATTAAAGGTAGAAAATGAACGTGTTAGGCAGACTGATATAGTGTTATAATATTTTGACGAATGGAGCAAATTTTTACTCATTTCATTGTTTCATTTTTTTTTTCTTTTCTTAATACAACATACACATAAATTCATAAGTTATATAATTATTAAAAAATTATATAATTATATAATAAATATATATAAATATATATAAAAATAAATATATATAAATATATAAAAATAAATATATATAAATTCATAAATTTATAAAGCTACAGAATCTGCAAATTTTGAAAATTTACACGTGGGACAGGACAATCAAACTGCTGGTACGATTTAAAAAAAAATTCGTTTATTCCTTAAATAAAGATTTATTCCTCGCGAAGAAACGTTACCCCATCATTTCAACAGATATTTCCATGCTGGTCTATCAATCGAAAAACCCCTCTCAAGGGACCAAGGAAGGATTTGTCCATTTCCTAATCGTCAAACGAACAAATTGAAGTCGTCAAACTTCGTCAAACTTCTGACAATCGCGCGCGCACGCTCGAAACACGCGACAAGACTGAGAATACAACGAGAGGGAGAAGGATTTCGAGGAAATTCTGAGACAATGATCTCCCCCGCCCACCCTTCTCGCACATCAGTATTCATTATACAACGCCGTTTTCAATTACCCGAAGGTTCGAAGGAAAGTCTGACGAAAGGATCGATGAGTGATCCCGCTAGAAAAACCGCCGGTCGTTTACACGCCTCCCCTCCCACTCCAACTCTCGGTGGATCTTGCGGTGTTTCCTCCGAGGTGTTGGGTTTTTCTTTATGCGCGTTATGCTGTTGCCCGCTTGAAATTCAAACCGAAACCGCCACGATGAATCATGTACTTATCGATTCAACACGGCAGCTTCGTTCGACTGTCTCGCTTCTTCCTCTTTCCCCTCTTTCGTCCTCGCCGGGAGCACCGGCGAAAAGAAAAGGAGAAGGCTCGTCGCGTCTCGCATGGCAAAACACGCGAAACATTCCCCATTCTCTGTTTCAACATGCGTTTCGAGGGAACATGTTTATTGTAGAGTTTACTAAATTTTGCTACGCAAACATTTCTAATCGTAATTAAATGACGTGGACGTGGATGTGGAGTTTTGACGGTAGAACATAAACGGTGATTAAAATATAAAATTGCCAGTAAAGGTATTAAAGTAGGAGAGATAGGATAGACTTTATGACACAATGGTGTACACACATTTTCATTTATACATGAATAAAGATAAGTTATATATTATAACTTTATATTACTGAAAGTTATATATTATAACTTTATATTACTATTTGATATATAGTAATTATACATAATTTATATATTAACTAATATTTATATATTAATTAACACTATTTATACATAATTTATATATTAACTAATATTTATATATTAACATAATTTACACTATTTATACATAATTTATATATTAACTATTTATAGATAAATAAAGAAAAGTTATAATATATAACTTTTTAATAAAATATATATTATATTCAATATAATATATAACTAATCAATAAAAATATATATATATATATAATACAGTCAATATAATATATAACTAATTAGTAAAGAAAAGTTATTTAAATCACTAGAAACACTATTTCACGCCTGTAAAAAATAGAAATTGGTCATTTTGGTAGTCCCAGTGCGAAGCATGTTCGTCCATCTTTAAAGTCGTCTTAATGGCGATGAAGTAAAATAAAATTACTGAAACGGCGAACCACCAGTGCACTGGATAATGATCGAAAAGAGTTTTGTCTTCAGCATGTAGTTACAAATTACTCGAATGAAATTACAAATGAACGCACTCTCTTAAAGTTCGCCTTGGTTTTTCAACCCTTACTCGCTCAGTGGTAGTACATAGTAGGAATTAAGTAAATTCAATGGCGAGGGGCATCAGTTTGCCAATATACGCTAATGCACCTGCTTGCCTGACGCGGCTAAAAAATTTACCCCGAACCTGAGACAAATTAATTAACCAATACTCCAATTACCGAAGGTGTCGTAAAGTTTCACTTGTCTACGATGGCGGCCAGCCACTTTCAAAGTGCGTTGATACCTTTTCTTTCTTTTTTTTTTTTTTTTTTTTCTTCTTTCCTCTCCGAGTCAGGAAATTTCG